GGGCCCCACACCTCTGGGGTCCCTATGAGGCCTCCTCCAACCCCTACAGCCTCACCCAAGCCTCCGGTGTAATATGCAAGCCTGAACATAAACTAGAGCCTCCTGGCTAAACCATAGTGCCCAGTCCTCTCAGGGCTATAGTGAGCTATACTTGCAAGTCAGGCTTCTTGCTATATCTCAGCCGAGGGAGCTCCTGCCTCTCCGGTTGCTGGCAGGGAACTGCCAGCCTGGTCTCAGCCCTGGGCCTTATAAGGGCCAGGCCCTGCCTCCTACAGGCAGCTGGCTCCCCTTAGTTGCCCCGGCGACCTGCAGCTGGGCTAGTTACCCTGGCAACACTCAGCTGGGCTCGTTATGACCTGCCAGGGCGCTCTCTCTCTCCCTGGCAGTTTCTCCCCTCTAGGAGCAGAGCACCGGGGTGCTCTGCGACAGTAACATTGGACCCCTGCTAAACCATATGGGACAACTGACGCCCAGGAAAAAGCCAACCTGCTTAATGGGTATTTTGTGTCGGGTTTTCACCAGCCCCAAGGGATGGCCCTGCTCAACACGGTACAGGATGGCCAGAGTGAGGGAGAACTGTTACCCTTCATCAATGTAGACCATGTGAAGGAACACCTTGAGAGCCTGGACACCTTCAAATCAGGCGGCCCAGACAGTTTATACCCCAGGGTACTTAAGGAGCTGGCAAGCATCATAGCTCAGCCACTGGCACGGATCTTCGAGAACTTATGGCGCTCACACAAAGTGCCTGAAGATTGGAAAAAGGCCAATGTGGTGCCTAATTTCAAGAAAGGGAGTAAAGTAGATCTACAGGCCCATCAGCCTGATCTTGGAAAAAATTATCAAAGACAAACTGGCTGATGGCAACATCCTGGGGGATAGCCAGCACGGGTTTGTTGCAGGTAGGTCTTGCCTGACCAATCTCATCTCCTTCTACAACCAGGTGACACATCACCTGGACAAAGGAGAAGAGATTGATGTCATATACCTTGATTTTAAAAAAGCCTTCAATCTGGTATCCCATGATCGTCTCATAGAAAAACTGGCCAACTGCGGCCTTGGCTACATCACAGTCCGCTGGCTGGGGAATTGGCTCCAGGTTGGACCCAGAGAGTGATAGTTGATGGAAGTCAATCATCGTGGTGCGCCCTGACCAGTGGGGTCCCCCAAGGCTCTGCCCTTGGGCCTATACTCTTTAACATCTTCATTAATGATGTGGACATTGGTATCAGAAGCGGACTGGCCAAGTTCGCCGATGACACCAAACTTTGGGGTAAAGCGTCCACATCCGAGGACAGGATGACGCTCCAAGCCAACCTTGATAGGCTTAAAAAATGAGCGGACAAAAAC